AGAAAAGAGGTCAAGATTGTAGGCCTGAACCTCCTTAAGAAGCACAAAATCGAGGCTAGTACCATAAGAAGCCTAGAATTGCCATACCTGCCATGTTAACATTTTCCCGCAATCTTCTTCTAACAAAAACCTTCAACACCCGATGAAACTTAGCTACTCATGAACCATACTCGAGCAATCACTGTCGCCCAATTCCCGCTAAAACACCGAGAACGTCACATCCCAACAAAGATTCGAAAAAACGGGATCCCTTTCGAACCGGAATCTCATTCGGGATTTGGCGGGGCGGTGAACAGGATGAATATAACTCCTATAGATAACATTCATTTACGAAACGTCGTTGTATGGACTTGGTTGGTGGGGGGGGGGGGTTGGTGCGGAGTTCATGTGAGGAACAGTCAGCACACCAGGGCATCAAAGCTGACGTGGTCTCCGTCGACGCCACGGATACCCTGTATGAACCGGGTATCAACTTAACAAAAGGTCGACGTGCTTCAACAAGTCCACTCCAACAACCCCTTGTGATTTCCTACACTCTGGTCGTGACTTTCACTAATTAAGGTTTTTTTATGGTACAAGTTACTGTATGAACCACTTAAATCAGGGTCTCTTCCAAGGACATCATGTGATAATTGCAACATCTTGTCTTGTGATTTCATAATTAAATGACTTAAGATTTTGAGTTGACAAGATGAACCTTCAGTTTTAACTTTTACTGTTTCCATTTTTCTTTTTTTCTTTTTTTTCTTAAGAACAAAATCAAAATATCATTTATTGGAAGTGATTAATTTCAAAAATCAAAAGATGTGAACGATGTTATACGTTTTCACAATGTTATCTGTAATTGCTGAAAGTGGTTTCTATGATGTTGTTGATGATATGTAGAACTGCAAGTTTATAAAAACTTATATTTGCATTTCTTGTAAAAAGAAGGAGGCACCAATAGGATTAATAAGATTGTTCAATATTTTATAATAATTAATATTTTTTATATATCAAATTTAATATTTTTAACATATTAAAAAAATATATTAAAAAAGTAAATAGAGCTCAGCTTCAATAACAATAAATTTTACCATCATTAAAATTTCCAAAAAAATATCAATAATTTTATTTATTTATATTTATGGTTATTTTTTGTGAAAAACTACATGTGCATCTAATGCTTGAAGTAAGGTTTTACAGTGCTTAAGTTTTTTTAAAAAATACAATTTTTTCGAATTTTTGTTATGCTTGAATATAAAAATATATGAATTTGTACAATTATCGTGTATACATGACATTAAAAGTATCGTTTTCATAATTAATTTTATAAATTTAAGTAATTTTTAATTAATACGTTTAAATTTTCAAGTGAGAAAGATAGAACCAGACATATAAAATGTTGTTTTAACAAAGATATATTATATATAGTCAATAAATAGTGTAAGTTTTATGGTTTACTAATATTCAAATTTGAATAAGTTTTATGATTTACATCTTGGAAAAGGACCCTTCCTTAGAAACATATTAAAACGGAAAATAAATTAACATATTGTGTTGCTTTTATATTAATTTTTTTTTATATATCAAAATTTATTAACTCGGTGTTGTAAATTTTGGAAATTAAATTTGATAATGGTCTCTTTCTTTTTAGTTTTAATTTTAAAAATAAAAAAACATATATAATAATATAATTGTGATTACTTCAATATAATTTAATTGTAATTACTTTAATATGATGTAATTGCTTTGAAATATTTTTAGGACTTAATATAACAAAGTTCTACACTACTTAAATAAATAAAAATAAATAAAAGTAAGTAGAAGTAAATAAGATAAATATTGTCTTACTCAAGAAGCATTAAAAAAACATTCTTGATGCACACAAGTTCTAAAAATTGTTTTCGATTTTCCACTTGGCTAATTAAACTTGTTCTAAAAATTTCTTACCTTTAGAAAGTGAATATGGAAGGAACCTACAACTTATATACTTTACCCAAAAGTCTTGTGGTCTTTGAAAATCTTTTACTATATCTTTTTGTATGCTAATAGAAGAAGATGTAAGATTGAAGGCCATTTTTAGTCTTGTCAGCGTTAAACTTGTATTCCAATCTTAGTTCAAGACTTTTTAATGTCTTTATATAATGACAATAGTTATTCCATCTCATGTTTGTGTTTCTATTTTTCTTTCAATCTTTCTCTTACTAGTACAAAAATTTATTATCCTTATAAAAATATTTCTAGATCCATCTTCTTGATACATAATGCCATCTAATTAAATTCAATTTAAAACTGTCTTTCTTTTAAAAAAAACTATACATATAGTTATAATTATAATTATACAAATTGAATAAGTAAATCTTATACCACTTGATAATTATTACTAATATTAATTTGAAAGAATCTAAAAAAAAATCTAATTTACTTTATATATCAAGATTATAAATTAGAATAAAAACTATAAAACTTACAAATATAAGATATTTTAAATAATTAAAAATAATCTAATGTATAAATTTATATATATATATATATATATATATATATCCTTAAAATTTAAGAAAATAATTTAAAGATTTTTTAAAATGCAAGAGATAAAATAATAATTAAGATAACTTATTATGATTATGAGATAAATAATTTTTAAATTTCTTTGTAGAGAATTATATTACAAGTTATTTATGTGAAAGATATTATAAAAACTTTATCTATTGAAAAGATAAGTTGACTTATATTCTCAATGTAGTTTAAAACAACTATGATACAATGTTTTCTCATATTTTCTAAATATCCAATTATTTAATATTATAATATGTATTCTTGAGAATAATATATTTTTTCTTTTATTAAAATAAACATTCATACTTGAAAATAAAATGATTATTATTCATCAAATGTTTTTATGCATATAAAAAATATTATTCTGTCCTTATTACCAAAACAAATTAATTATATATTTTTTTAATTTCACTTTATTTTTTAATAAAAGATATTTTAAAAATAAATTTAAAATATTATTTATATATAGCAATTTAATTCCAATTTTTTTTTGTTATTACAAAACAAGATTAATTATGCCAAAAAAAAATTTTAATATGAAATTGTAATTTATATTTTTTTAGAATTATATAATAATAGTTTCAAATTAATATTTTATTTGTAGATAGTCTAGTTTAGCATCAAACATTTATTATCTTTAAACAACTATAATCTAATTGTACTTATGAAGGCCCTCAAATTAACCTTCATTTGAAATGCATTGGACTATGTTCTACATGTAACAATTTTACAGTTTTACATAAATAATAATATTTATTTTTTAAGAAATATTATTTATTTTTAATTTTTTAAAAATATTAATTCCAAATTAAAATTTAGATTTTTTTTGCCTTTATTTTATATTTTTATATTTACATTGTTTATTTTATATAAATCATAGGTTTTAAATTTAATTTTCTTTATATTAAACATATATTAGTATGCAAATACATAAATTCAAAGAAAAGAAAATAATCTGATAAATTTTTATATAATTTTTATTTAAATTCTATCATACTAGGTTGTAGTTTTTCTTAATCAAATGTTTTATTGTTAATTATTAGAGGCTTTATATATATGGTAAATAATTTTATTTTATTATTTATTATAATCAATAATGTTTATTTCTATTTTTTTTGTAATAAATTCTATTTTTTTCTTTTTCTAATTAATTTTTATAGGATTTTTTAATCTAACTATTTTAGACCATCTTTATTATTTTTATATTTAACAAATCAAGATATTATTCTTTAAATTAATAAAAATATTAATAAGAAATTTTTATTTAGTATCAAAGAGATTAAAATTAATTAAATACATAATACTTATTCTTAATTATTTATATCTATAATTAATTTTATTAAAATAAAATTTAAATACTTCTTAACATTTGAAAGTTTGTTGTTGCCTCAATACACACATTCAATACAGTTATATGTTATTTTTATTTTTATTAAAAAAATTTATTTTTTTTCATTTTTTTATGAAATGAATAAAACTAAATATATTATATTAATTAAAAAATTATATCATAGCTCTGTATTAGTGCTATTTTATTCTTTATAGACACCAATTACAACTTGGTTTAATTTTCGTGAATAAAAAAGTTTTTGTATAAATATTTTGAATTTATATGTATAGAAGTGGTTTAAGAGATCTAACTGTAGGGTATTCAATAGCCACAAACCATTTTAAAGAATTAAACTAGAAAATTTGGCACAATTCTAGTTGTAGTCCAAAGACAACTAAACACTAAAAGCAAAAATTCACTTTTAAATCAAAGCATTACTTATTACGAAAAAATACATTGACAACCAATATGAATAGTAAAAATATAAAACTTCAATTACACATAACTAAAAATATAAAACTTCAATTATACACACATTATACATAACTCCTCGGCTGCTTATTATCACTATTAACAACAACACTTATCTCAAAAGAAAAAAATTGTAAACACATAATTGACACTCTTCTTCAAGAACTCAGAGAGAAATGCATTACTTAATCAATCAATCAATGGTCCATACCATTCATGACCACAATTCAAAATCTGCAACAAAAGCCAAAAAAATTAAAAAAATCCAAACCCTAACACTATCAAAAGACAACTTTTAAACAGATATAATCCTCAAATTGTGTGTAACTAAATAGTTAGATGAACAACAAGGGCACAAGCACAACAATCATCACACATGAACCAAGAGTGTGTGTGCACTGCTCAAGAAAAGAGCCGCTTCTGGATGACCAATACATTATTACCCTTCTTTCTTCCTTCGCTCAGCTTTTTCTTTTTCCAGTCATATATATATATATATATATTATTGTTTTTCCTTCAGTGTGTGTTTCAGGCTGTGTGCAGAGAGAGAGAGAGAGGCTTCGACGTCAACTGCTACGATCGTGTAGTACCTGAGCCCTAGATTGTTAGCTACTGAGGGAGAATAACTGGTAATTAATGGCGACGGTCGGGCGATAGCTGGGCGGGGCGGGGCCCTCCTCCCTGTGTGGCCGCAGATTGCCTGCCTGGTCCTGGTCCTGGGCTTGGCTTGGGCATCGGCGATGGGCGTTGTCTGGGTTTGGATCTAGAAATTCACGGAGCGGGGCATGCAATCGGGATTGCATAGGATAGATGATGGCTCCTGGGGTCCCCCTATCATCATCATCAGCTTGTTGCCTGCCGTCTGCTTGGCTTTGCGTTGAGTCACTACTGCATCCCCTCATCGGGATATATGCCGATTTCTAGACCCTTTTGCCCTCAGTTCAGTGCAGGGTCCAGGTTCCCGTCTTCGCCCTTTTGGGGTTTCCGGTGCTTGGGCTGCTGCTGCGCTCGAGGCTTTCTGTCTGCAACACGTATCCGCTTGGTTGTGTGTAATAGTGCTATTACTACCGCTACAGAAGCTTTCTGGGAACATTCCAATTGAGGGTCTGATCATCTGATATTTCGATTGCGCAGGGTCTTCAAGTTTTGTTCCTGGAGTATTCTCTGTGGGCGGTTCTGGAACCCTACCTTGCCGGTTTAGAACTGTGTTGGTGTTTCGCAGGCTGGTACTGATGCCTTGGGCTCGGGTCGTCCATGATGAGGTGGCTCTGAGCTCTTGGTTCTCTGCTTCTGTAGCGCGGATTCTTCTTCGCTCTCGTCGTAGTATGAAGGAATTAGACCACAGTGACTCTACGTAGCGCTATTGCTTGCTTGTTTACTTGTGTCTCATCGCGTTTCGACTTACTGGATCTTAGCGCTTTTTGGTCCCGTTTGCATGATGCACAACGTGGTTGCAAGGTCAGACAGTGCTCTGACATAATATCCCAGTCACGTCTGAAGGCTATTTTGGTCCATTTTAGGTTTGCCTTCTTAATTCCTCAGATTATGTCTCTTGTTTCAATGAACTGAGAGTGATGATATATCTCGTAGTTGTCTTGCTCGATTCGAATGCTTGGATGAGCTGTACTAGGAAAATATGCAAACTTAGTGTGTTGCACCCCGGCCTGTATCCAGTGTTAGCAGCTTTTACCGCAACTATCCGTTCTTAGATTGTTTTCATGGGCCCCACCTATCGTATGGTAATAACGCAGCGACGCCATAACTCAGGAGGCCGGCGACATCACTGCATTGCACGTCCAATGCCACCGCCCCGCCTCATCACAGGCGTCATGCGTTCGAAGCTGCACCAATCTGCCTGGCCAGCTCCTCTGGTTGTCTCACTTCGCTCTGGAGCATAAGTGTCCGTTTTCCCAGTTGCTCCTTTGGATTGTTAAGGCATGAAGATCAGAAAGCAAGTTCAGAAGGCTGTGGAACCAGAATCAGCTGGAGGGCCTTCATCGCTAGAGACTTCGGAGGGAAACAAGTTTTCTCGGCATATTACTTTGGAGACTGAGAAAGGGGGTAGATTACTACTGGGGAAGTCTCTTTTCGGTGATTCTAGTCCGCCGAGGAAGCAGGCAGGCGCTCGGTCGACGTCAGCTTCGCAAGGGGGAGCACTGGATCATGTTCAATATCCTGTTAATAATTCGCTGAATCAGGCAGAAATGAGAGCGCAAGGTTCTTCCTTAGAACGTGATCAGACGCATGAGTCTTTGGAATATTCCAACTCGGAATCTTGGGAGGGCTGGACACTTGGGCAGGATCACTTGAATACTAGGAGGAAGTATGCACGGCGGAGTCTACGAAGTGCAGGTGCTGGCACATTGGTGTTGCGGGGTGAAAACGGTTACTGCAACGGGAATGCGGTTGTTGCCTCCCACGCTACAAAGGTACGGTTATGGTGATGAATTACTCCGTGAAATACATCATGATGACCTAATTTGTATTGGAACCAGCTGACGAAACCTCGTATGTCGGATTGGCAGTCCAGGCCACCGGTGGGTCTACACAAGTGGTAGCTTGTTGACTGTTGTATAAATGACCGCTCAATCCAGGCATGCTGGGCATGAATTCTGGGGTGCACAGTCCAAGTTTAGCAAATGTCAAGTTCTTCCCTCTTCTCATTTGGACTATGGACTTTTGCTTCTTCCTGAGTATCTTTCCCTTGGAGCTATTTCGGCACATTATCCTTAGCATTCGAGATTACATAATGGAAATGACAATGCAGCAACGTGCCAGTTTTTAGCCATGACCCTCTGGGTTCCACAGAGATCAGTAGAAGTTTACCCCTCCAGCATGGAACCTATGTATTGTAGATAGTCATAGCTATTGAGAGACTTTATCTAGTCTTATGGGAAGTTCATGACCTTTCGCAGATTTCCTCACTGTGTTCACGTATCTCTCACTATCTTCGCAATCGTAGAAACTTCCAAGTCAGATGCGATGCTGAGAGAACAAGAGTGAACTGAGTTCTATAATCTTGATGTGATTGTTTTCATTCCCGAAAACTCCCATATACATTAGAGGTGGGCAGCTAGCTCGAAAACACTGAAGTTACTAATCAGTATACATTTACAATTCCAACAAGTAGACCACAGGAGTTTTATTGTGGAAATAAGCAGCATGTGCTGTACTGATCAGGAAACGGTCTACGTTAAGAGGTTTTTGACGTTGCCATGGCAGTGTTAATACAATGCAGCATGTTTTGAACCTGTCACTCCGACAAATATTTACAATTTAGTAGTGAAATTCATAGTGCAGGTGGTAAATTTCCATGACTTTTGTAGCCTGGGAGCAGTCCATGAGGTTCAGTGATAACGCATCAAAAGATCATTCTGCAGTGGATTAGTGATTCTTTCATGAGGTCCTTCTCACGGTGTCGATTGTAGGTGCTGAGAGTTTCGGTTGGGCTGTGATGTGCCAGTCCAGCTATGATTCCTATGCAACCTTATTTCAGGAGTGGTTGGGAAATTTTAACTTGTGTATGCTCACAGATCACGCAGCGGAGATGCAACCTCAGCAGAGGTGAACATTCTTGTTCAAATGGGCAATGTGGCCATCCATCACAGGAACCTGAAGGGTCATTGCTACATTGTCTTTATTTGCAGCTCTTAGCTGCTGACAAGGAAGGTATGACTTTGAAGGAGATTTTTGCTAGCTTTGCGACACAAACACGATTCTCCAGCCTTGGGAGGAACTGGAGGGAGCATGTCAAGGAGCACCTTAAAAGTAATCCGTACTTTAGATCAGGAGCGAAGACTCGCTACATTCTCTGTGATCCGCCTCACCAAGCTCCAGAGACCTCGAAGGCTGGTGCTAATGATCACTCGGTGGACTTATTTGATCTCAATGAGGAACCTAAAGCTTCCAGCAAATTGGTTTCTGCAGATGCTAAGATCAATCAAGGCGACTGCGACACTGCGCTATCAAGTCTAGATCCCTCAGTTGTCAACATCGAGCGTGAAGGTGTACATCGCGATCACTAGTTTTATAATCGGACTTTTGTAAAAAGTCATTGCCGTAGAAGCCACATGCTCTTGCTGTTGTATTTGGGCATTGCTACCGAGATCACTCATTGTTTGTTGCTGTGCTTTTCTGGACAACAGGGGTACAGACCCGAAGAAAAGCTTACGAAAGGACGATTGAGGCGGTGCTAAATGAGTCAGTCGGGAAATTTCAGAAGACACAGAAAACTGATGAAATTGGTGAGAATCGAAGCTCAGACGAATTGTCAACTGCGTCGAGATCAGATTTCCACACGGGCACACCAATGGACACGGAGCCAGAATCTGCGTCCATCCGTGGGTTCAAGAAGAGAAAAATTCCAGTTCATGACGAAGGCCCCCAGCAAAGTAACGTCCGTTACATCACAGGAGCTGTTCCAGGGTCGTTGAAGGCGATGCAGGCTAGGATTGTAGCCGAGCAAGGCGTTCAGAATGGAGTCAGATGCTCAAGAAAGGATGGCAGCAACAGTCATTCTAAGTGGCAGTGTCCTATGATGGCCATGGAAGGTAAATCCTTGTGTAAGCACCACAATTTTTTGAGTGAGAGGAAGAAGGCCCGCTACAGAAAGGCGAAACGACATGCCGAAGGGAAACGACCCCTGCGGGACACCAAGTTGGAAAGAAATGCACGCAGGAGTTCTGTACTGAGCGAGTTGCAAGTTCTGAACATATCAGCAGGAAATTCCTTAAACAATGGAGAATGCGGTACCCAGATTGACGTCGTTTCCGCCCCAACTATTGTGAACAAGAGCAACATTAGTTCCACTGATCGGATTTTGAGAACTAGAAGTGATGCTCCCTCGAACGGATCTCTGGTAGAAAGCAACAACGCCCAGTCTACCGAGGATATATATTCTGACACCGAGGGAAGAAAGGCAGTATTTAAGTTCATTGCAGACACTAGTCGACAATCCCGAAGCACGCGCAAGCCCAGAATGTATCATGCTGCTAAGAAGACTGTGGAGAAGACTGCTGTGGTATCAGTTGCGCCGGGAAAGTCGGTGATGAAGCAGAGCGTGCCTTTAATACGCCCCCCCTCCATCCCTCCATTGCCCATGCTTTACGGGGTGAGAAGGAAATCCATGAAGAACAGGCCTCTAATAGCTTTGTAGCCATTTGTCTTTAGAACTTTCTAACATTTTTGCTTGTTGGATTGGGCTGTCCACTTTTGTATCTCAGTCTGCTATAACCGCTTTCAGCAGTCAGATTGTAGCCCTAGTGCTTTATTCGTGCAGTTTTCTCTCTATAATATACCAGGCAAAGGATCATCTATTTTTCTCATGGACTAGTTTCTATGTTTCTGAATGTGGCCGGCGCATCCGTTGATGTGATTTGTTATAGTGAACAGATTGACTTTTTTACATCTACTCTTGTATTTGTTGTGGTCAGTTTCCGTGGAATGAGTGAAATCGACTCAGAATATGAGACTACTCGACGGTTACGATGCACAACATCAGCGGCTCGTTATTCAATCGGCAATTAGTAACAGACAACACGTTGGAAAAATTGGAGCAGGGATGATACTGAATTTATCAAACTGGCATTTCTTACGAAGAGCTAGCTCAACGGGGTATTGTTTAGGAGTCTAGGGATTTGAAGCTACGGTTTTCATGGGTTTACGTTGTGGGGTCTACCGAAAATTGCTAGTCACTACGTACTTGATAGACATGGATGTTTCGAAGATCAGTTCACCGAAACAGTATTTAGTGGCGTAGAGTCAATTAAGTGACGCAAACCCCCTCAATGCACAACCTTCCAATGGCAGCTAGTCCTCAAACGTAATCGACTAAAGCAATTGTGACCTTCGTAGGGGGTTCGAATATGGATGATGGTATGGCTGCTTTTTTAAAAGAGGTGTCACTCTTGGTCTGTTCACGTGAAGCATCCAAATCTGCATGTGGCAACCATTCAACACTGTTGAACTAGCTTAAAAATTGTTAGCAGCAATAGAGTGCGGAACATTGTCAGTGAAGCTCTACTCTGAACTCCAAAGTTTTGATTGGTGACACTTCGGAGTGCACATTAGAGACGTCTTCAAACTCGAATTGATGTGCCGCAGTATCTCCGTGCAAGTACTCAAGATTTGTTGCAACATTGGCCCAAGAAATGTACCATCTACGGCAGTGTGATTGGATCGTAGGATGTTTCTGTATTTTGAAATGTCTCTTGCAGCTCTTACAACATCGTGAACACAATCTGGACATGATAACATTTGTAGAATTGTGAGGGTTCCAAACACTGTCACCCTGCATTGTTTAAGGTTCACTCTCTCGACAATCTCATGTCGGCCGGGAGATCTGGTGCAACGGACGATGAATGACCCATACACCGCGGAGGACTTATCCACTGGACCTCTCAGATTACCAACTATCGAGCAGATGTCAGAGCAATGGTTTGTTTATGGTGAGTATTCAACTGTTATCGACAAGGTGTAGTTTTTCATGAAATGGCTCCACGTCCTCGAACTGACTAGTACCCGTGATAGCACATAGCTCGGCCCTGTCAACTTGAAAACGAGGCTGGTTCGGCGTGAGGAAGCCTGACAAATCCTTTCAAACAGATCGAACTTTCCCTGACTGTTGAAAGTTAAAAATTGAAACTGAAAAAGAAAAAAAGAGCAAGAGCCAGCTGCTGCAAGACTCTAAAGGTGAAGGATGAAGGTGGGACTTGAAAGAGATGTCCGAAAGCTCACGATATGAGTACTAGAGGGCTCCAATTTCCTACTGTGGGCCGGTAGAGGCAGTTGGAGAATACTTTTATCTCGTGAGAGTCTCATCATTCGCTTGTGGTGGACAGGCACTACGCCATCAAGCTCTGCATGTGCCAGCGCCTACTGGATGATTTATAGACCAGGCAGCCACTTTTGTCACGATCAGCACGATAAAGCCCAACTCCTACCACAGTAGGTGTACTAAACCCTTGCGCGGCCCACTGAAAAAGAAGCCAGTATTGAAAACATCTTTCAAAGTACGGTCACGTACCATTTCTCGCACAAGTGGGTTTAAGATTGCTTGCGATGATTGATTATACCTTTCTGCTGGAAATAATCCATGATGAAAATACAAAACTCGACTGTATTTTCGTAAAAAAGAGTATAGGACCATTGAGCTCTTCCAGATTGCTCTTGGGAGTCTCAGCTGAGGAGTACCTATTTCGTGCCATCGAGTCCTCTTTAGGACAGGACATGGGTTGAATGGGAGCCAATCCATGTCCCTTGTCCAGCAACCGCTCAATTTGGACTACTTCTGCAGCTGAGGGCATGACAGATGCGTCATACGGCAAAATCATGCATCAAAACCGAAAACAAAGACCCACCACGCACCCTCTACAATCTCCACCTTCCGAAGAATGAAACGTCAAAGGCGATAATTACATATGACCCAGTAAAGCATGGGTCTGCTGCGCACAAGATACTACCGGTATCGATATCTTGCACGCTACGTAATTCAATGTACAGCACTTCTGGACCAGTATCGCTATCAAATCCCTACACAGCACCTAAATGTTGACAATTAGGGTTCTGTACGAACTGAAGAGGGTTTGCGTGACAGAATCCATTGCTTATGAGTTGACCGTACTTATTATTTCCATCTAACCCTTTTCTGGCCTAACTTCTTGCAGTCTAGAGCACAGAAGGACGAGGTGGTTCAGGAGATCAATCAGCCAACTGCTGTTGACAATTAGAGTACTGCATCAACAACGTAGCGTCCCTGTCGTTGAGGTTCCAGGTCTGATCCCCCAACTGCAGATGGCTGGACTCGAGCTGACCAGTTTCGGCACTCTTGGAAGCTACTCGACGCTCTCTATAGTTTCATGTTATACTCGAACAGCTGACTCTAACTTCACACCTGGGATCATCAACAACTCATGTCATGGTTTTAAACCGTGTACTAAATTTGAACACAGATTGACTAATGAATCCGGGTGTTGATATTTCCGACTAAGCAGATACAGATACAAAAGGCCCACGTTCGATCGGATTCTGATAACTCACTTGACAACGCATTACCCACGGCGATCACACAGTCATTATTTTCAGTCATGTTTCTCCTGCATCTTATTCACACAGGTTTTGACAAAAAAAAAAAAAAAAAAAAAAAAAAAAACAGAAGAAAAAAAAAAGAAAAAAATCACAATAGTTGAATGACCAGGAAGACGATCAATTACACCTGATTCTGACAAGAACATGCAGTGCACTACATCGGTTGGTGGAGGATCACGACAGGGATTACAAAGTTCAACCCAGTGATCAGTAAAAACATGCATTACCAATCGACACCCAACATGCATGAAAAGACCCAGAAAAATTCCGTGATAGGTAAGAGCACGAAATCGAAGCAGCACTAGCAGAAGGGCACGACACTCTACGTTCGTGCAGCGAGTTGAAGGTCTATAACCAAAACCCCTACACACTGGTAACAACCGCACCTACATGAAACGATATGGAGCAAAATACACTGAATCAGAAGATTACGCACTTAATCACCCTCTAAACCGTCAACTCTGCAACTCAATAAACCCCACCGCCCGCCGAGAAAGATCTTGTAACGAACCAAACTACTATGCACATGACAAATCCCATTATTCTAATAATACCCTAGATACACACAAGCACAGACAGTCCAGATCCGGGTCCTAACTTGCGATGATGTCCAGGGTGCTGATTCAGCAAAAAGCATATCGTAACCTGCCCTTACTCAGAGTGGAAACGGTGGCCAGATGTTCTGACCAGCCCATCGATGGATCCTGTGGGCACGCAGAAGAGGAGTAGGAGGAGGAGCAGGAAGAAGAATTGAGGGCATCACCATCATCCCCGTGGAATGAAGCGGTCGTGTTCAAAATCGGGGTGGGAGTCGGCCGAAAATCGCTTACTGTGCAAGGTGGTGGAGCCCGCTCCCAGCTGGTGCCATGCCGTTAGGATTTACAAATTTGGCTGATTCTCCTGCTCACCTTCCACGCATCTTCCTCTCGAGGTGGGGTTTGTCGTTTCCGCATGGACGGATGGATGGATCGACGTTTTGATTCTGGAGGATGATCACACGTGGACCGACGTTAATTTGATTACGCTTCATTTATTTTGGGTTCTTTGAATAAAGTGATGCACTTAATGATGTGTGTGAATTGTACTTACAGTCTTGGAGTTAAATCTACTGAGATTTCAGTGTTTTTAAAGAGATTGTATAAGAATTTGAATCATTCAAAAGTAAACACAAATATAAACAAATACACATATATGTGTATATACTAGCATTTGTGACAAATGTACAATACATAAGTTATGTATGCCTTATTTGAAAGAAAAAAAAAGAAATATTGTATGCTTTGGTAGCTCCTAGAAATTGACAACATTGCCTTCTAATTAATATATATATATACATACATACATACACACATACACACATATACATATATACATGCATATATATATATGTATGTACGGTTTGTTAGAATGTAATGTATGTATATATAAATATATTATAAAATTTATATAAAAATAAAGAGTACAAGTAGTACAAAAGACAATTTAACATAGTATATATTTAGTATATATATAATTAGGAATGTTGGTTATATAGATTCATTATAATGAAATGATAAAAGTAATTATAAAGCCAATGGAGAATTTAATCATTAAAATTAGAGAGGATACTTTAGAATGTTAGAGATATTAAAAATCCTTTAGTAAAATTATAATAATACATAAATTAGATGTATTGTTACTTTATTTTACAATAGATGTTAGATAGATAATATATATATGTATATATATATATATATATATATATATATATATATATAGATTACATTAGATGCTAAATTTATAAATGCTAGTAAATAAATAAATATACAAATAAAAAATTCAATTAATATTTTTTAATAAATTATTCAATACATCACTACATTTTTTTATTGAATTTATAATTAAACTTAATTTCCTAGACAAATTCTAGTCAATACTAATTGAATCAAGTGGCAATATTTTGCCTCGCATTCACAAGTCTAAACCAAAACTCTAAAAGCTCAATAAGAACAAAAAAATGAAAGGAGGAGGAGATAAGAAATGAAAGAAAAGAGATAAATCTTTTTGCAATTGTTCAATAATGTCAACAAAGCAATAATAATTTTGATGGATTTGAAGAATCCATAAATCTTTTTAAATAACAACAATCCTTGTTGCTACAAAAGATCCATAATAAATTAATTTTTTTCTTTTCTTCTTCAACTAAGATAACAATCAAAAGCACAATGATAAATTTATTACAATAAAAAAACTTATGCTTTACAATTTTGTGTTTACACATTGGTGGTTTTTTTAACATGAAGTTGTGTATGAAGATGAAAACACATCTATAAAAAAATATATGATTTAAAAATTTTTATTAGTAAAAAGAAAAAAAAGTGAACTTTTAAACTCTAAAAAGTAAAACATTTAATTTTAATTATTAATATTTTTTAAATAATATAATTTAATGATATATTAAAAATATATAATTTTGAAGAATTAGTATTTTAATATATACACACACATACACACACACACACACACACACACACATATATATATATATATATATATATATATATATGTAATATGAAATTGATTTTATTGAAAACTTATTGTAAAGGCACAAAAATTAGTTATTTAAAAAAATATTTATATTCATTAAAAATAAATTTTATTTAGAAATAAGTAGTATCTATTTTTACCTAAAAATAAAATTTGATAAATGTAGAACATTAATTTTTTTAATATTGCAAACACAAATGTTACAAATGTTTTTATTTTAAGCTTATTTTCTATATTACAACTTGGTGGTGAAAAATCAATTATAAAGATTTATTTTTATTTATTCTTAAATTTAAAAGAAAGCATA